TACACTTGTATTTGTTTAGCTGGATTTTATATGAGAAACCACAATTTCTTAGAAAATTAAATGTAACTGATCATTACACTTGTATTTATTTAGCTGGATTTTATATGAGAAACCACATTTCCAAGGCCAGAAATGTGTGTTAGAAGAAGGAGAAACGGTATTAAATCGTGACTGGATTCTTCATAACAGAAAGCACCCACAAAGAAACTTTGTATTGGGTTCTATCAAACGAGTCCTAAAGGTAACAGAACTGTTCATTTCTTTCTTTGTTTTTTGTTTTGTTGTTGTTGTGTTATTGGGGATTGAATCCAGAGCTTTGAAGACATTCTACCAATGAGTTACATTTTTGCCTATTTTTATAATTTTCTTATATAGTAAAGCTATGGTATGGCGTAGTAGTGCTTAGAAATAGATGCTAATATTTGTACCACTTTCATTAATCTTTATTATCATATTGGTCATTTTAAAATTTATACATATAAAATATTGACATGAATTGTAATTTAAAATTTAAATTAATGTGGCCCATAAAATGCCACGTGCTGGCTCATGTGTATATTTTTGTAGTATTGTACTATCCAGGATCTTTAGAAAGAAAACTAATATTTCCAAGTATATTTTTTTTCTAGTTTGGATTGCTACTTTTTGGTATAGCTGTATGTGCACATGTGTGTTTGTGTGTGTATGAGTGTGTTAGGGTACATTAGAGAAGGAAGGATTAGGAGAGGATGCTAAAGTATTGCTTTTTTGTTTTTGTTTAAAACCTATTTTGCGGGGGGAGGGTACCAGGAATCAAACTCAGGACCTTGCTGCTACCAGGCAGACACTGTGCTACTAATCTATATGCATGGCCTTAAAACTTACTGTTGAAGATGAAGGTTTCCAATATAATAAAACATTTTGTGAGAGGTTCTGTGGTGTTTAGAGGAGGGGTAAATTATTGATAAGGGCAGATCTCAGATAAGGACAGAATTTCCTCTCGTGTTCTCATGTATTCTTAACATTTCTTTCAGCAGTAACATAATATATGATATAGTGCAGTCATTCATGTGACAGTCTTGTGTACATATATTTTTCAAGACATTGTTATATATTTAAAAATTATGAATGGAGGTGAACCCTATCATGATTTGATTGACATTATTTACTATTAGCATCTATAGAAAAAACACAGAAAAATTAAAGGTAGCACACAGAAAAACTCAAGTTAATCATAAAGGCATACCTGTATGTATTTTATATGAATCAAAACTGTAAAGAAATGTATATCAAACAAATACTTGTGTTTGCCTTTGAACCTGATATGATTGGGGGCAGTGAGGTAAGGTCCCTTACCCTAAGTTGTTAAAGTTTGGCTAGAAACAGCTGAATTACCTGACCATAGCACAAGGGAAGTGCTCCACGTGACCCTGAGGGCACACAGAGAAGAGGCACCTCTCCCTCTAGAAAGTGGCATGTCATCCGGAGGAGGTAGCATGTGATTGGAATCTTGAAAAAATAAATAGGAGTTTGTGGGAGAAATGTGTTGGAGTTCTCGCTGGGTCATGTTTGACACATAAGGAGGAGGCATTGATGGCTCAGTGGTACTGAAGGAGATGAAGATGACTAAAGCAGAGAGGGCAGTGCCTACTATTGAAAGGTTTTCTGTGGCCCATAAGTTCTGCAAAGAGCATTTGAGTGTTCACTCAATTAGCTTATTACAGGAAAGTCCTTGAAATGCATAGTTTGTAGATGGAGTCTCCTGGGATTGGCACCACCTGATCTTTTGTTACTTCCCTGTGAATATCAGGTACTATGACAAGCTTAGTGGGAAAAAGTAAAGACAAAAAACCCCAACAAACAAACAAAAAAGAGATTTGGCAGTTAGCCACCCTCCAGCCCTCCTAAAATCATACAAGAATCAAATCAAGCAAATTTAATCTGGTGATGATGGATATGTGAAAATTTATACAACCACTATTTGCTTAGAAAATATTATAAGAAAAAAATCATGCTTGCATTTTTTGTTTGTTCTTAGAGTCATTTTGTGTTTTAGTCACAGTGTTAGTGCTCACATGTCTTGAGCAGACCAACAACTTTAAGTGAGGAAGGAAAATAAAGCTATGAAGCTTTAAACAGAAAAGGGATTAACGTTGTTTTAAATATTTTATGAAGTATCTGACATCACACTGCTTCCCAGTCTCCAGTACAGTTCTCCCTGTGAACAGCTCCATCTTCATGTGCTCTTGCCGGACCACGCTCACCGAGGCCCGTGCTAACTTTGTGAGTCTTACGTCTTAGTTTTGGCTGCTGTCATATAAGTACCTGAACCTCTGCTGTCCTTCAGAGATGCCATGATGTTGTCCCTTGGCCGTGAACAGCTATTGAAAGTGCCCTCAATTTTCAGAAACTTTGGGTTGCACTCAAGGCTCATCTTTGCACCTCACATTCCCAGTGAAAATAAGTCAAAGTGACAATAATAGTGCAGTGTGACTCTTGGCTCAGGTGTTTTCTTTTCTCAAATTAGAACAATTCAGAATTTCAAATTAATGTGTTTACTGTATATTTAATGACATTTTCCTTATGGACAGAAATTACTCAGGTTGATGTGTAAGCAACGTATTGTCTCACTACTGTGAGAACCTGGAAGAGTGAATAAAAATTAGGAGGTATGACACACACTGTGAAAAGAAAGGAAAATGCTCAAAAGTAAACAGTAACTGGGGTGAGGGAACAGAGAAAAGAAAGATGGGGAATTTATGCATATATGTACAGGATAGCTAACATAGTTGTACTACTGACCTCTATCGCTTTACTGAAAGGAACAGTTAATGATTATTTGATCAGTCTTGCATGTCTCTATTTGTTTTACTGAGAAATCACTTTGAAGATATCAATGTGTAATACAACAAACATTGTTAATTTCCTACCACTTTGTCTGTAACTCTATTGTGTGTATTGTTCTTATGCTGTTTTGTAAATGGATGTCTGTTTGTTAATATGTTTTCCTTCTTTTATTCTTAAAATAAATTTTAAAAAAAGAAAAGAAATTACTCAGGTTGCACCATCATAATGCATCAAGAAGACAGAGGTCCATTGTTAGATCAGAAACTTAAGGTGGAAATAGATTTTTCTGTTTTTGTTACTATAATTCTTTTGTACTCTGTTTCTCTTCTGTAACTTTGCCTCCATTTGCACCAAGTATTAGAATGGCCTAAGCTTATGAATTACAACTAGATATACTGTATTTGGAAAGTGTAGCATGACTACAAGAGTCTGGGGGAAGCCAGTAAACTGTTGTTGCTAGGCTATTACAACATGCCCTCAGTTACTAGTGTTTGTCTGTTAGCAACTGCACAGTTCCTTAAAAATATACTATTTCTGTGAATAGCTGCCATGAAGACAGAACTTAGTAAAGTCTTTTTCAATCCAATCAGTTGAAGTAAAAATTGGTAAACGTACCTGAGAACTATACCTTCTTCATTTTATTTTCAGTTCTTAAGCTGTCAGTATGCTTTTACAGCTATGTTGTTTCCTTCTGTTTTGTAGACATGAATGCCTCTTAGCTTTTTCCCTTTGAAAGTACACCACCCAAACATTGTTTTTATAATACAATACAGAGGAAACTTGTTTATGTGAGACACTTAGTTATGTATTCTGTTACTGTACCTCCAATCCCTGGGGGAACATTAAATGGCAGTATTTGAAATAATGCCACTGGGACACTATTATTAATAGCATACAAAAGACCATTGAAGATTGACAGGTGACTATTCTGGACATTTCTGGCTATTTTTGAAATGAAACTTCAAAAAGAAATACATTGTTATATTTTAAAGGAGATTTTAAGTTATCCTTTTCTAGTACATTGCTCTGTACAGCTAACTTTCTGAAAATAAGATGTATAAATTTGCTTGATTTTATGTACTTTTTTAGAGAAGTAGAATAGTGTATAGGGCATATAATATACAAATTTGAGTTTCTGTTATTTTAATGGTCTGTTTATATTCAGCACCACTTTTTGGCCTAAACAACATCACTTTGGAAAGATAATTGTGATATCATGTTCTAGTAAAATATATTGCATGTTAACACTGAACAGTATTTTATATTCTACTTAGCATCCTAAATTGCTTCATATATTGTGAGAATGGTTGAGAACTCACTTTGGGGAAAGGTTAAAGAATGTAAAATTGCTGCTTTAAAATTATAGAATTTATACTAAATATATAATTATTCCATTTCAAATACATGCCACTTCTGACCATTGTTGCACTTAACTATTGATTTGAATTTCAAAATGTCACAGGTGAGAATTATACTACTGATATTTGAGTAGTATAATTAAACCCTCATGAGAACTGAGATAGTATATTCAGACAGAAGGATATCTAATTTCAGAGAAGGGGAAATTGTTTGTAATGTTTAATTTCCTAAAGAAGACTAAGGTTGGTTGGTTTGTTTAGTTATAACTTGAATGCAGAGTTATCTCTTCAGTTGAGGTGCTGGAAACAGCTGCAAAGCACACAGACCAGGGTGGGAGCAGAGACAGCGTGACATCTAGTAGACTGCAGAGCTGTGGGAAGTGACTACAAAAGGCAAACAGAACTACGTGTTGGATGTGATTAGACCTTGAGCCAAGAAGTGTCACAGGGAAGAGCTGTTCTGAGCTGTATAAAGAGTAGCTTGTGCTTCATTAGTACTAGGCTGTAATGAGGGCCTTCTTGAAGTTGGAGAAAGCTGCACAAGTGAAAGAGGGACATAGTAACAGTGAGTGCTTGATGGTAAGACCATGATAGAGTGTAGTTAATCTTCATAATACCTTTCTTCATCAAACCGACTTACACCAAAGAAAGTTGAGTCTTACAATTAGGAAAACAGATTTCCTTTACCATCACCTCTAATTCCTACTTTTGTCAGGGTAAATTAGATAAACACACTGAAGGGGTAGTAACTTTCTGTTTTTTATTTTTTATGACCACCATGAGATCAGCTTTTATTTAACTCCCTTCCTCCCCTGTGGCTTTGTTATGTGCCTAAAAAGGAAGGCTTATGGACTTTTGGCACTCAAGTCCTTTGGTAACTCTGAACATTGCTTAATGAAATAAGTACTTAAAGAACAAAGCAGGAAGAATTGGGACAATAGGCTTTCCATCAATAATAGTTATAGTTTTCATGTTAACATGACTTGTTAGAAAAACTTATTTTAAGCAGTGATTAAGGAGCAACAATATTTCCTTCATGTTGTTTTTTGTGAGGATATTCAGTTGAACAATGAGAGCAATTGTATGTCCAGGATTTTGAGAATACTAGCCTGTGTTTCTCTCTAGATGATTTCAAAGTCAAATTATTCTTGTTTTCAGAATTGCAGCCTTCCAGAGATAGAGCTTCACCCACAGTCTGACCTGGCTTGTTGTCCTGTGTATATACAGAGAGCAGTTCCTGACCTGGAAGAACTGAACATTTCCAAATCTGTGTCCTTCACTGTGAAATCAGGAGTGTATGTATCACTTTCCTTTTATTATACTGATTGATGGCTACCTGCATTAACAGAGTGTTTCATATTTCAATAGGTGATGTGCATATTTCTGGAGTTTTAGTCAATTAATTTCACTGATGCTCCTGGATACCCAAGAAAGACTACTACAAGGTTTATAGATTCTGTCTTTCTGTGGATCCAGTTAAGACTTTGATGTATGAATCACAGGAAGAGGTATAGAATCCTCAGACATAGTTCTTGATAGATGGATTGACTTTTAATCCAACACATTTTGGAGTTGAGAAATAAAAACATGTCCCTGGCCTAAAATGCTGGAGGCTGAACTCTTTCAGGGATGTCCTGAGTATGAATGCCTTCCCACCTATCCCTTTTTTGCTTATTATTCCTCTTCTGCTGAAAGCAGGCAATGCTAACTTCATGTTATAGTAAGCAATTTGCCCCAGGCTGTTAGCTGGTCAGCACTCACTTGATACTAGGCCTCTCTGATTCTAAAGGTTGTTAGTTCACCTCCAGATAGGTGCAGATTATAAAACTCTGGATGCCTGACTCAGTAGATCCTCTTCTGTCTTTCATTGCTTCTGTCTGCTCCAATTCTGGCGTCACTATAGGACAAGTTTGTCTCCTCCAACCATTAATTAAACTCTTGAGCAGGCTTTGTAACTGACACTATTCATGAGAAATGTATGTAATTATCACATTTAGCTGGGAGACATATGGGTTTTGGGGGAATTTTGTTTCCTGTACTGTTCCTGAGGCAGCCAACAAAACCAATAATGATTCTAAAAATGTAGGTCAGAATATAAAATGCCTAGTCTAATCCCTACCTCTGATTGATTTTTTAAAATGAGATATGTTGGAGTGGCTTTGAATTTTCAGTTATATTCTGCTTGAATCAAAGGTACTACATGTTTTAGGTGTTAGAAAATTTAAGAAAAGTAATGCCTAGCATTATTTGACAGATGGAAAACATTGTTAACTCTTGTTATGTGCTATTTGGTAATCCCTTTGGGTGTGTTTTACTGGTATAATGCAGCGGTGGAGAATTTTTCTTTTTCTTTTTGGTAGCCCTTTTTACTCTTAGAGAGTCAGACAAAAGTATTACTGCTTAACCAACATTTACTTCTTATGTAGTTGGCTTGCCTATCCAGATATTAATTTTAAGGGTCAAGCTACAGTTTTAGAGGAAGACCATGGGCTCTTTGAGATTTCTGCAGCAGAAATGAAGTCATTGCATCCACTTCAAATGGTAAGCTAATTAAAAAACAAGCATGTGTTTTTTCCAAGTACGCATGAATCCAAAATTAAAGAACTTTGATGATTATTCATGCATCTCCGGAAATAAATGTTTTTTACTGAATTGGTAAACTGTACGTTGTTTTTCTGTTTATATTGTAGAGACTCTAAGTTTACTTTGTGTTTTGCCAAGTTTATCACAAAGCAGTTTCCTTATAAATATTCTTCTGTGAAAATTCTAATTATTTAATAAGTTCTGAATGTGTTTTGTTGATGCTCATTAGAAAATTGCTTGTAGAATATTGTACTCTTCCACTTCAGTAATGCATGATAAGCTCAGCATTAATAATAAATGGGCAATTCTGTCGATATTTTCTTTCCTTAAAGATAGTAACTGCCTGCAGTCTTCTTTTGGTTGTAAATCTCTTCTGAGGGGCAGACTGTTCAACTAAACATTGGATGTATAATAAAATATTTTGGCTGTTATATACCTTTTATTTTATTTTATTTTATATTTTTGAGTACCAGGACACAAACTCAGGATTTTACGCTTGCCAGGCGGGTGCTGTGCCACTGAGTTAAATCCCAGCCCCTGTTCCATACCTTTTAAAACAATAGAAACCAAGCCAAATGAAGAAATTTTAAGAAATTGCACAGTGTAGAGTAGTATTTGATACAAGAAAAGTACAGAACTAGGGATTTTGTGAGGAAGGGATTATTTTTTATGTGGTGTAACTTGATGTCAAAAAGACATGAAGCGTGATTTTTAAAAAAGTGTTGTTAGAACTTGGAAGAGGAAGTGTGAATAGCTCAATGCTCTAACTTGAAATTCACAAGTAATTATAGAGGAAATGTTTGAAAAATCAACTTAAAAATCTATTCTACCAAATGTGACTTTTTTTTTTTTTTTGAGACAGGGTCTTGCTGTACAGTTCAGGTTGTCCTTGAGCTCACTTTGTAGCCAAGGCTGGTCTTGAACTTGCAACGATCCTTCTGCCTCAGCCTCCTGAGTACTGGGATTACAGGCGTGCGCCACCATGCCCAGCTTATTGATTTTATTTCTACTCTTTTAATAATTTTACTCTTTTGTTTGAGGTGTTATGCAGTGGGATTAAATCTTTAATTGATCACACATATTCCAGGACTAAACCTCAGTTTTCTTCTTCATAATTGTAATCTGTAACATTTTTAAAATTGGTGACGACATTGATATAAAGCCACCTAAATTGGTTTAACTACTGAAGTTCTGTACTTAAAATTTATATGTAATTTTTAATTTGACTGGTATGTAGTCTTCACTAATTATATTTTACTTATTGTACATATGGAACTTGTTTCCTTCAAAGTACTTCAAATATTTACATACCTAATATTAAAATATCTTGTCATCATTAGGGTGGACTAAAAGTGGAAATGCCTATGAATTTAAAGGTAAGTCTTGAACTAACTTTTATAGTGTGCTAAAGAAGACTGAATACTAATTTTTAAGTATTTTGAATTACTAGAATAAAACAGTAACCTGAATATATGATTATAGCTAGCCAATACTTGCTGGGAAGTAACTGAGATGTTTCCTGAATGGCAGTTGATTCAGGATACAAAGGTGGAAGTCTATACTGTCAAGTCCTCCGAATCCAAGTGCCTACCCTGTGACTAGGTGTTACATTTGACTGGGGGGAGGTTGTGATAGCAGCTAGATATTGGAGTGATGATACTTAGGAGGGGTACTCAGGAGTTAGAACAAGGCCAGTGAGGATTATGTAGCTGCTATTAGGGAAATGTCAGTTTGTAAGTATAAATACCTAAAGGAAGAGTAGAGGCAATGAACTAGATAACAGTGATATCAGGATCAAGCACATTAGAGGAAAGAAAGGAAAAAATATAATTATGAAATATATATAAAGAGATACAGGAATAAAATTGGTTCACTGATCAAAGATGTGTGAAAAGAAAAAGAAAACAAAAGTATGTAGCCCTTTATATATATATGAAATATATATAAAGAGATACAGGAATAAAATTGGTTCACTGATCAAAGATAGCCTTCTTTTTTGTAAGAATGGCATTTCTAGACAGAGGCAAGTGTGGAGAGAGGGATTCATCCACCCTTCTTTCCTCCCAAACCAGACATGAGTCTTCCCACCCTCCCATTTCTGGGCTTCCTTGCTTATGAGAATTGATTCCATTTTATTGCATAGATGGAGTCTTGAACAACTTAACTGAATATATCTATTATACTTTGTGTGTTGGAATCATGTATATTTAATTTTTAAACAATACTTATGCCTGGCCTCCACTCTTAGCGAAACTGTTTTGGTGTAGGGTGTAGACAAAAAATTTTAACACTTCCAGAGTAATTTGAAAATGTAACCAAGGTTCAAAGTACTGGTACAATAGATGCAAGATCAGCCATGACACTTCCTGAGTAACTCCTGTCTCAGTTTCCTAGTCTGGCCAATCAGAACCTTAGGTACGATATAGGCTTGGTCTTTGGGCATTTGTAGTTTGACAGATTATACACATTTGAATTGATTGGTTATAGTAATTAATCACAATTTTCAAACTGTTAGATATTAACAGTGGTAATGCCATAATGGCTTACTTAACAAAGAATTACTGTTTTTACTTAGTTTAAGTGTAGTCATCACATGTAACACATACTAAACACAAATAAAACTTGTAACACTTCAAATGTAGCCACATGAAAATCTAATATGTGAAAGTAGTAAGATTAGTATATTTTTTCAGTCTGTATAATGTCACCAGTTTTTAGAAATAAGAAAACAGTATCTTTTTGCTTTAGCAAAAAGGTAGTCTTATTTGCCAAGATGTTGAGTTTTCAGTTGTGCACAAATTATTCCATTAGCCACCAATAGGACGAAGTGATAAAGTGGAGACAGACTAACACTCTTGTCACTATTATCACTTCCACACATTTGGGGCAGCTTCTTGAGAAGTAAAGAGCAGCATAATAGTTTAAGAAAACTATTGTACCAAGCCAAATTTGCAATAAATTAAATGCAATAAATTTTTTTTCTGTTACATGCATTACACTCCCCAAATTTGAGTCAAATATCCAGTTAACAAAACTTAGAATTTTTCCAGTCAGTTCTTATTTTTAGGAGGCTTTTTGTTTAAATTTAAAATTTGCATATCTGTTTTTTCTCACTGAAAAGTAACCAAATAAGCAGTTAGTGTTGTAAGAAGTAGTATGACTGTTTTTGAGCTCAGTTGATGTTTTGTTGTATTCTGGAATCTTTAGAGAGTTTGTATTTCATATAAGGGAAATTTGATAGATCTTGAGATAGATTTGTAGTAACCTCAAAGCACAGGAGTAAATGTATAAAAGTAATTCAAAGATCAATTATAAGATGGCTTAGTCTATGATACAGTCTTAGGATATTGGTGACCAAAACAGTGTAATCATACCCCAATATATTAATATAAGAGAGGCATGTTAAGATATTTTACCTTTATAATGATAAGGACCCCAAATTCCTTGTGAGTATCTGACAGTGTGCTATATTATAAGAATATATTAATGAAGAAAATAGTGGGCCCAATACTTGTGGCTTTAGTGTCAGTTATAAGCACATTACTATATATCTATTCTAAAATATGAGCATATTACATTTTTTGCATATTTTCCAGGTTATTATTTATGAAAAGCCTCACTTCCATGGACAGGCCAAAGAGTTTAATGAACATATAGATTCTGTCCCAAAATTTTTAAAAAATAATGGGGACTTTCATGGAATTGGATCAATTCGTGTCATTGGTGGAGTGTGAGTATTATATTTTCAATATTTGACTTAAGCAGCTGACTTTTAAAGATTATCACAGAAGCAACCAGCCTTAATCTAAAATATACATCCCTTTTGTAAGATCAGAAGTAAAAAATATTGCTAAGGGTTTCTGTAAACTCTTGTTGGTTTTTTTTGTTGTTGTTTTGTTTTTGTTTTGTTTTGTTTTTCTCCAGTACCAGGAACCAAACTCACGACCTTGCGCTTGCCAGGCAGGCGCTTTTGCCGCTGAGCTAAATCCCCAGCCCCCAACTCTAGTTGGTATTAAAGATTTTGAGATAGAAACTGTATTTTACCTTTAATCTAAAACGTCACTTAACATTTTCTATATAGTAAAGAAAGTAAGAGTTGTAAGATAAAATTATTTTCGGCATGTTATAAGCATAAATGAGAGCTCAGTGTTTATGTGCTGAGGACCTCCACAGTGAACCTTCATCAAAGGAATAGTCTGAGTTGTATGTTTCCAAATTCAGAACTTCTGACACTGGTGTCTTTCCACTGCTCTTGAGAAAGCCCTTTAAGAGCCTCTGGGTATAAACACAAGTATAACCACCACTGTTACCATCTCACTCTCAATCAGCAATTACTGGAGCAGGAACACTAGAGAACTGAGACCAGGCTGGGACGTGTTTTTATGTTCATGTCCTGGCTGGCTCATCAGACCATGAGTAAGATCTCAAAACTTACTTGCTTTTGTCAATCCAGTGCTGGAATCTCATCTCACCAGAAATGATCTCCTTTAAGACATTGGTTAGTTGGAATGTTGGTTTGTTTTAATTTTAAACCTTGTTGTCTCTTGATAGTTACTGTAACATAATGTAACTTGCTTATGCTACTTCGGCAAATGATGCTACTAAAACATTTCAGAGGCATTAAATAATTTATCTAAGGTCACTTAAGAGTCTGTATGTGCAGTCAGGCATGGTGACGCATACCTGTAATAACAGTCCTTGGGAGGCAAAAGAGGATTGCTTGGAGTTCAAGGCCATTTGAGCTACATAATGAGTTCAAAGTCAGCCTTGAGAAAGGGAGATTCTGTCTCAAGAAGCAAAACAACAAAAAACAAAACAAACAAAAAAATCTCTATGTACAGATTTAGAATTTAATTTCTGGCAGTAAATGAAGTTGATGGTCATACCAGCCAAAGTGAAAATGTCAGAGTCTGTAGTATGCTAAATATGTAGGTCGTCTTGATACTTGCTGACACACTAGTAATCATTTAATTATTCATCCTTGAATTTTTAAAATTTTCTTGGGATTAGAAGAACAAATATGGTTTGGATAAACACATTTTTATTGTGATGTATTTATTTGTAGTCTCTAGGTTGTGAGCACATATGTTTCTTATTAACCCTGATATAAAATATTTTTGCCTTTTCCTTTCTTTGGGATCTAAATGTTTTTTGTATTAACTGGATAGATCTGAAACTAGTTTTCTGCTTCACAAAAATTATCTGTTAAAATTCAGTGTGAGGAATATTGTTATTATCCAAGGATTTTTTACAGCTAGCTTATAAAAAAATCTTAAACGGTGGCCTTCCGTTTTTATATAATTGCAGGAGAAAAATGTTCCCACTTAAAAATAATCAGATGACTTTATTATTTTGTAGTGTGTCTACCATATTTTGCTTTTTTAGCTGTTTAATTTTAACTGTGACTAGAACAGACTTTCTCTCATTACTGTCCCATTGGGAGGGATCTGGGGAAAGTGAGGTTGATACTCTTCCCTTGCATAATGTGTATTTAAACACCCCATGTATACACACACATTGAATCTTGGTGAAAATTTAGTCTGGTGAAATTAGGTCAGACTTGAGAGATTTCTGAGCTCTCGGTACGTAATATATTTACGCATAGTAATTCACCCCTTAACACTTGTCTTCTATACCTCTTATTTTCCCCATTCATATTATTAAAAGCATATTCTGAATAGCCATATTATAATAAAAGAAAACCTAGAATTTTTAGGTTTTCTGTGTAGTTCATTTTTTACATAATAGTTTAAGAATAATGTTAGTCTCTCCATGTATTACAAATATATTATGATATATAAATAGGTCTATAGGTTTTTTCCCATGCATATGGACATCCTATCCTGCACCCCACCACACATACACTTAATATAAAGTGAGGAGAAATTAATGATTGTTGATAGGGCACTGTTATTTTGTACCCTAAAAATAATTTTTTAGAATATGTTTTGAACCTTCACAATTGTCGTAGAGGTGGAAAAAAGAAAACAAAAGTATGTAGCCCTTGTGGACTTCATTTTGTCAAGTTCCTGAATTGAGAAGACCCCATCCCTGGAGCTCAGAATAGCCATCTGCCCAGGGGGGGTGTTCCACCCTAATTACAACCACAGGCCTGTTTAAGCAAGTCAGCATGTTTTATGAACCATCTTTGCCCACACAGCATTAGATACTGTGGATTACCCCATAAAAAGTTTAGTTTCACAATAGAGCTTATCAGTTAATGGTGTTTATCATTGTCCTTACTGATGCTTTTAGATTGGAAGTCAGGAAACTTGTGTCCCTAGAAAGTAATCTGTGATAGTGCTTCCTGTTCCCATGATCTCCACTGATAAAATGGTAGTACCAACATTTTCCACCCATGAGTATTTACAGAAAAAGTCTTTGTGTACATATAAGGGCACCAGGAATGGTGGTAGCTCAGTCACATTTCCTGATTCTTTTTTGGTAAACCCTTGTGTATTGTATTTTTGAGCTTCAGTCTGGTGAAAGGTTCCTTTGACTTAAATCCTTAATAAGTGTTTAATGTAGTAATCATTCTGCAATTACAGAAGAGCTTAATCAGAAAATTAGAATGATTATCTTTGGATCTCTGTGTGGGTTTGTTAAGTTTGTTCATTGGCCATTTATGCTTTTATTTTTACTTGGCAAAATCTCTGATCATCTCAAGATGTGGTAAGGAGTCATGGTGTGAACATTTAATGAGCTTGCTCTTTTGTAATTCTGCAGTTAACCTTTTGTTGGGAAAAGCCTCCAAACTATAAAAAAATTATTGGTCTGTGAAGCATACAGTGTGTTGTTGTAAATGGAAATAAAACAGATATGTTGCTTTTTAGAATATAGAGGTTATTAATTGTGCTTTATCATGACTTTTCTCTCATTTACTTTCTGGACTAGTTTTATGAACAGTTCAATTGTGTTTCTAGGTGGGTTGCCTATGAAAAAGAACATTTCAAAGGCCAGCAGTTCCTGCTTGAAGAAGGAGACTTTGAAGATAGTAATGACTGTGGGGCACTAAGTGGCCCCATCTTGTCTTTCCGGTACTTACAAGCTGTGAGTTAGCTTCCTTAGCATACTTTCCTACCTGTTTTATCTTTTTATGAAAACTGGGTGTGATCACTGATAGAGCATGAGTTTGTGTAATGTTTTTAGCACATCAAGGACATTAAATTGAACTGAACATGACTTACCTGGTTTTCTTAACTGCATGATTATTGCAGAATATTTATTTGTGACCTTTTTAAACATCAATTCTATAATAAATTTTTGAACACTTGCTTTCTTACATGCTTTGTGCTGGGTATTAGACATGTAGTAGTCAAATACTCAGTCCCAGCATCCAAAAGCAGGCAATCCGGTAAGGAAGATCATGCTGAAATAAGTGTATGAGATTGTTTATGACTGGATTAAGTACACAGGGTACCCAGAAAAAGAGCCAGTGGGCCAGTCACCTAAGTGGAATAGCGAGGGCTGCCTAAGTGACAGCTGAGCAGTTTTATGTTCAAAAGAGTTACTTGAGTAGAGAACGTCCAGAAGATGGTAAGATAACTGTAGGTGCTATGTAGCAAGAGATTAACCCATGTTAATGTGTACAGTCTAGGTTGTAAGCCATTGGTTCTAAATGGGAGTGATTTTACTCCTTAAAGGAAATTTGACAAGTATCTAGAGACATATTGAATGGGCATTCTGAGGACATGGGATGCTGGCATGTAGTGGGTAGAGGCTAAGGACATTTAAATGTGAAGGGCAGCCTCCAACAGTGAAGAATTACAGGGCCCAAGATGTGTACAGTGCTGAGTTTGAGAAACCCTCGTGGAAGTAAAATTGTGATGTGTTTGAAAAAATGCAGGTAGGTCAGGTTATTAGAACTTTGGGAACATGAATCCAGAGCTGACTAATGAAGGGCCTAGTACCATGTTAAGAAATCGAAATTACTTTTCTTGAGTTGACCAAAAGCCATTAGTGTCCACCCTCTAGGTGTAGTGAGAATACCTACACTGAAGGTTTAGAAAGGTCTTCTTGATGACAATATTGAGAAGTGGGCTGGGATAAGGGAGGTGAGGCTGAAAAGAGAGGTCCAGAAAGCTGTAGGACTCCAGGTAGAAGCAGATGAAAGCACAAAGAGGAGATAGGTGCTGGAGTCTTATGATTTTAGGACTTACCAGAGGTTGCTGATTTTGCTAATCAGCACTGTGGACTTTTAACAAGTTAAGAGGAACACGGAGCCTTATTATTCAAGAGTTTTCACTGCAGTCTCTTCCCCAAATTATCTTTACCCACATAAACTCTAAACCAGTGGTGAACCTATAGCGCACATGTGATTTGTGTTTTAGGCAAAAGAGGTTAGTGTGCGAGTTGGTTTTCTAAACTAAAACCTCAATATTCAGATCTAATTGCAGTGTTGGTATTTTGAAATAAATACATGGGTTTGAGATTGCAATTTGGCCTGTCATCTTTAAAAAGTTTACCTAAACTATCTGGAATGGTCTTTGATGCCCTCCATCGAATAATCAGCTTAGTTAGTGACTGTGAGGGCCATATGGACTGTAGGTGAGCACAGAGACTGTGTTCTTCCTTCAGGGTTCTGTTTGTTGAGGCTAGTGGCAGCCCTTTCACAATCCCTCACCCTCTTCAGCAGGAGGAATGAGAAGGAGGGCAGATCCACAGGGAACAAGGTAGCATTTTATTTCTTCATAAGGGATCCTTCTCAGTAAGAAAGTGAGTCATAAACAAGTTCTGAATGAAACATAAGACAGTTCACTGAAGAGTGAGTGCTGGGAACTCAAGAACAGATGGGTAACCTTCGAAGTATTTAGCACACATTGTAATACACAAGGGTCACAGGTCTTGTCTACTGACCCATGCTTTATTTGACTGCTAAAAGGCAAGCAAGACCAAATGAAATAGAGCCTTTTAAGATCATTTTGACCATATACATTGAGGAGATTATGGGCCATGATTCAAATCATTGTCCGTTCATTATTAAATAATTTAAAAATTTCCCTCTTATTTTAGAGTTGGGGGAGCATTATGGATACTGTAAATGTTAACAATGAATGGGGTGATATTTTCCAAATATGACTGGGACTAAAATACTGAAACAAAAACAAAAGAAAAACCTAAGTTGGTTGAAACCTACCAGTGGTAGGAAATGTGAAAATAAGTAAAAATATCACAACTACCATGTATAGTTAATAATTAGAAGATATTTGATGCAAATAAATTCTGTAATAATAACAGTAGAAAATAGCCTTGTTGATTTTTGCTGTTTACAAAAATTGGAAGCATGTACAAAAATGATGACAAAGTTTTTATATAAGTAAGGAAAAAAGTTTTTTTAAGAATTAGGATATTAGTTGTTAGCTTTAAAGATACCATAATCCTCGTACTAATCCTAATATTTGTCAAGTACTTATTAATGGCTTTCTTGAATATGTGCTCTAATAGTCTTTGCAAAGACTGTAATGTAGAGACTCTGATACATCTTACAGATACAGAAACTGAGCATCTTGGAGGTTAGGTACCATGCCCCAGGGGTGTGCTAAGGTTGAAGGGCAAGTCTGTCTTACTTTAGAGCCCATTAGACTTTAAAAACTAAACTAACTTATGAAAAACTAAGTCTAACTTAGTAAAGCCTTATGTCATGTCATCTGTAACTTTAAATACAGGGGCACATTGCAGACCTATGTACATATATAATAAATTTTACATGGTTTCCAGGCACTTTTATAATAAAATTATGTTCACCAAAGTATGTTTAGATGATCTATACTGAAGAATTCTATTCATATTTAAATAATACAAAATTTTATGTTGTGAAAATGCTTAAAAACTTATATTCTGAGAAATTGTGTATTCCCCAGACATAGCATATAACTGGGAAGCTATTGTTTTGTTTTGTTTAATTTTATTCTAAAGAAAAAAGATAAAACAAAATTGCATAGCAAAATAGTAGGAGAATAACAATAGTTAATACATGTTGTTATCTTTAAAGTAGTTGGTCAGGGTACAAGATATGGGCATAAAAATTTCGCAATAATACTACCTCAAACCTTCATTTTCAGTGAACTTAGAGACACTAAAGTATAACTGACTTTCATTTTTTCCCTTTTCCTTACTGTCCTTTCCCCTTTCACCCATCCTAGTTTCTTTTTCCTTTTGAACAGTTTCTTCCCATTTCACAATATCCGTTGTACATTTTAGAACTTATTTACCCTTTCAGTTTTTCACACCAGGGAGATGATACAGTGTTTCCACGTGTGAGTCTGGTTTATTTCACTTATGAGTATGGTCTTAAGTTGCATCCATTTACCTGTAAAAGTCTCAAGTTTATCCTTCTTTATGTCTGAGTAGTACTCCATTGTATAAAAAGACCACATCTTTTTTTTATCCATTCCTTGGTTGATGGGCATTTGGGTTGTTTCCAAGATTTAGCTATGACAAATTGTGTTGTTATAAATGTGGGTGTACATATATTGCTGTGGTATGATGTTTTCAGTTCTTCTGGGAAAATACCCAGAAGGGAAATAGCTGGGAGGAATGAGACATCTAATCCTAGTTATTTGAGGAGTACCAGTCTACACTTCCACCAGAGGACAAGGGTTCCTTTTTTCCTCACAGCCCCTCCAGCATTTGTTATGGGTTGATTTCTTGATGATAGCCACTCTTTCTAGGGTGAGATGGGTTGTCAGTGTTGTTTTAATTTGCATCTCTTAAACAACCAGTGATGTTGAACATTTTTTCATATATTTATTTGCCATTTGTATTTCTTTATCTGAGAAGTGTGTACTCATCTCAGATTCCCATTTTTTGATTGGGTCTTTGAATTGGAGGGGTCATATTTTTTTCAGTTCTTTATATGTTCTGGATAGAAGTCCTTTGAGGGACAATTGTCTCAAAATTTTTCCCACTCTGTTGGTTGTCTTTTCACTCTGTTGGTGATTTCTTTTGCTGTGCAAAAGCTTTTTAATAAGATGAGATCCCAGCTGTTGATTCTTTCAAGTATTTCCTATGTAGTCTGGGTTTTTTCATCAACTCTCTACCTGTACCTATGTCTTCAAGATTTATACCTACTTTCTTTTCCAGTAGATTTATTGTTTCTGTTTTAATATTTAAATCTTTGATCCATTTTGACTTCAGTTTAGTGCATGGTGATAGACATGGATCTAGTTTTAGTCTTTGACATATACGAAGCCAGTTTAGGCATTGTTTTTTTTTCTTTTTTATTAGTATGTGTTTGCAGTAAATAATGATTACATTCATTGTCGGGAGTTGGTTTATGTACATAACACATTTTAATTCTTTTTTAATCCACTTCCCCTCCCATCCCCTTTATTACCCCTCCTGCTATGTCTTGATTACCCTGCCTTTTGCAAAAAGTTGTGTCTCTCTGTTTCCTATTATCTATCTTTTATTTTATTCTTTAATTTATTTATACTTTGGGTTTCTTGTATAAGAGAAAACATGCAGTATTTAACTTGCGTGTCTCAAGGTAAGCCCTTGTGATTGTGACATCCCTAGTGAGTTAATAATTTTCTGCATATAAACTGTAACATTTATAATTCTCAGTGGAAGTAATATAAAAGAGACAAGAAGACAGAGAGCAAAGCTGTTTTCAAATGCTCCGACTCCAGTACATGGAACACTGTGGATTTACTGAGGTCAAATACCGGACATGTTCCGTGGGGATAATATGATCTGCATCATGGAGAGCTCTGGAGAGGACAAGCATGAGTGTGTTCCCAGTTTCAGATGAGTCACTCAGATACACTGACCTGGAGTCGATTACTTCAGAAAGGGACTAAAAGAAATATAGCAAAATTTAGGCTTCAAGGGTTAAGGAGTTTTTATTCCTTGGCTTCAGTAAAACTATTTTGGTATTCTTGTTTTTCTCAATCTTATACTTACTTGCTTAAATTTAGATTTGCTTTTGTTATGATTTTCAAACTTGGGCCACTTTCCACACACTGATATGCAGCACAGACCACTATTTTCCTTTGTTAATAGATACACCAGCGCTCTACTGGTGTCTCTATGATGTTGGGCATATAGAGTTATAGTGTGAGAGATTAAAGGCCAGATCAGCTGAGGGACTTTATGAAATTTAAAAGTAGCCACATTACTGATCCTCACAACTCATCTTTATACCTAGCGCACTTGCTCACTAATTTTCTGGAATAGCAGGAAATGCCATTCCTAAGACTACACTAATCTGTCTTATTTATTTATTTATTATTTTTAGTACTGGAAATCGAACTCAAGACTTTGCACTTGCCAAGCAGGCACTGTACCACTAAGCTATATCCCGGGCCCATATACTATTAATTTAAAAACATAAAATGGAATAATACAGTTTTTAAAATTGTTCCACCGTTGTTCATTCTTTTTAAGCAAAAGAGCTTTGTGTAAATCTGGGGATTTCTAAAGTACCTAGAAAAGATAAGTATGATAGTAGCCAAAAAAAATCATAGGGACATGGACATGACTGTGAGTACTTGTTCTGCTTACCTACTGGACAAGATGGTTAGAAGATTTTGGTTCTGTTGAGGTTTTTGCATAGTATGCCGTGCTTTGTATGTGACCCCAGGTGATTGCACTCAGAACTGACACATACCCCTGAGCATGTGTTGTCTCATGGCTAGAATTCTGCACAGCAGGGGTACTATATTCATGGAAACAAATCAACTAGATGGGATATTGTGTATTTGTTATATTTGGAGGAAAATACAGAGGGGGCAAAACCTTGGAAGTTGCTTAGAAGGGGAAAGTGCTTAGAGAAAGATGGGAAGCAAAACTTAAAAGTCAAAAGTCTCAAACAAGTAGAAGATGGAAAGAGGAGAATAACATCTAGAAGGCTCCTGTAGCACTTGGCAGGGCCTCTAGGAGTGGGGAACTGCTATTTTGTAAAAGGTTGTCTGTCTGTTAATGTTTTCCTCCTTTTATTTTAAAAAAAAAAAAAAAAGGGGTTAAAAAAAAAAAAAAAAAAAAAAAAAAGGAAATGAACTCAAGCTGTGTGAGTGTATTTACTTGTGTCCCTGTGTGCTGCCAGCATCTGCATTTCCAAGTTGTCCTGGACGAGGACTCCCTCCCGCTCTGCTCAGCTCCAGGCTGCATAGTTGCATGTGGCTTGTACTTGCAGCACTTTTCTCAGTTCCCTTTCCTCTCATGTAGGTTTCACATTTGAGGCACGAGTGAAACTTACAGTTAGAATTAATCAGACAGTAAATCCCAGCAACTTATTAACTGGTGACTACTTTTTAATAAATGTTACATTTTCCTGATTACAGTAAATTCAGTTTTATGGTTTTTTTTTTAATAATACAGGAGTAGTAACTATGACATTAGTTCCCATGCAATTTAAAATTCTTCCTGGAGTTATTTGTGTGAATTAATCCCGCAAATATGTGAAAATGTGCTTGGCTACAGCAGTCCATAGAACCAAAACACATGCTTTCCTAAATTTTCTTCTTCTTCTTCTTTCCAGAATTTTATAGAATCTTCTATCACACTGTTTGAATCTGACGTAGAAAGTGGGAAGTTTATTGACATTTCAAATCAGGAAATTTCAGACTTAGAAGAAATTGGCTTTGGTAGTGAAACAAGATCCATTCATGTTAAAAATGGAGTGTAAGTTGTCCCCTGCCCTAAGGACCTTGAGATGTTCTTTGGTGTTTTAAATTATTGATTGCTAAGTTATACATCACCTCTGTTCTTTTCTGTTTGTTCTCTACTAGATGGGTTGCCTACCAGCAGAAATTCTTCTGTGGAGAACAGTACATTTTAGAAAAAGGGAAATACAAATGCTTTTTTGACTGGGGAGGATCAAATAATGTAATCATGTCAATTCGACCTATTCAACTGGTAAGTGAGTTATGAGATGACAATGGCCAGTAGCATGTTAATGGTATACAACTGAATATATAGGACCAGATTTTAAAATATGGGATTGTTGAATTATTTTAATGTATATATATAGAAAATGAAAACATGATATGAATTGTACAGTTTCTATGGAGAGCTATTACATATTAAGCCATGAGTGAGATGGGTCTGCAATTGTATCGTTTCATTCATTCAGCAGCATTTATATAGTTCCCCAGATTATTGTGCTGCTCACAGGGGATGAAAGCTATTTAAACTGCCCTGATGGCTCCTGTTTTCTTAGAGGAGGCAGATGTGTGAGCAGCTGATTACAGAGTGATTAGTGAGGAGATGTACTGTGCAGGCAGTATGGGGAGCACCAGGAAGGGGGGCGCTCCGTGACTTCATGGCATGAAAGGATGGGGGAGATCTATCATCAGTTGTAAAAGTAATTTCTTTCTGAGGCAGACAGCATTCTACAAAGAGAGAATAATCTCTTTGTGTGCAAAGACATGAAGTTGTGAAGCAAGGATGACCAGGGTGTTGCATAACAGACACTGCAGAACAATAAGGGTGCACATGAAATAACAGTCACAGATTTTAGGCTCTTTCTAATGGGCATTCCCATAGAAATGGGAATCAGTATGACTAAACCTGAGCTGGTCATAAGTTCTAAAACATTACGAGAGAATCTAGTATGTTTTTTGAGGGTCTTGGCCAGTTGAAGGAATCCTGTAAATTTTTCAGACCATTAAAAACTTTTAATGGATATTTTGAAGACATTCAAAAGATAACTAAGATTACATGATTACAATGTTTAAAATATTTTAATGTGTTTTTCAGGAGCCACTTGGGATAAATGAGCCTCCACATTTGGTATGTTTAAAAATATTCTTATCTTATGATTGTTGCTTGTTTTACCAAAAACATTTATACCTTCTCCATCAGGCCTTTCTCTTTCTCTTAGATCACTTTTGTGTCTATGAAGCGGGCAGTCTATATTGCACTCGGCACCTGTGAGCAGAGAGCTCCATCCTTATCGGTGACTCTCTTGGCCTGCAGTCAGCACAGTGTATTTTCTCCTGACACAGCTGCTGCTTTCAGTGCTTTTGGTTCATTTTTGCCTGTCCACCTTTTTTCCAATTGGCCATTCTTTCTTTTGTCCTGTTCTTGTTCAGCACAGCGTAGTATGCTTTCTCTGGAGGAGCTGACAGCATGGAGCAGTTGCTGCCTTGACCTGCTTACTATGTTCACGTATTTAATACCTACATGAAATGTTTCTTCACAGCATGATTTGAAACCTTACTTTTTCATTTCTAATGTTAATGGTTTGAATGGGACTGGGTGATACTCTGGACCCTAATGTTTCTTTATTATCTGTTGAGGGCTAGAAATTTTGCTTTCATAGTACTTCTCATAATTCTGTGAGGTCATCATTAATCCCATATATTGATACAAAAATTGAAATTCAGGTTTAAGTAGATACCATTGTCACAGATAGAGGTGATTAAGTAGACATTTTCTAGTTTCTGACTCCTTTCACAAAGCTACATTTTCAAGTCAAAGAAGGACATGCCATGGTTAGAGCACAGCCATAAAAGGAAGAGAGGATGAGAGACATTGCTTTTTCCACTTCATTTTAAATAACCACATTCAGAAAAACTGCTGTTAAAAAGCCAAGTATAGTGATTAAAATGACACTACTACCTTTATATAATGCTGAATGTGTATCTTTTTCATATTCATGTTAATGTTTCCATATTTCAGACCAGCTTAGTTTAAACCAGGTTTCCACTCACAGTGCTTTCAGGTTCTATTATTTTCTGATTAGCTTGGGCCTATTGGGAATGTTTCCTTTCTGAATATAATTGAGTAGTTGTATTTGGAGACACTTTCTGCCACATCTTTATTTTGAATTTTTGAAAATGCCCAACTGGATTTTTAAAGCACTTTCACATGAATCAAAATAACCTGAGTTGAAAAAAGGAATTAAACAGGAATAATTTCAAACTGCACATTTTCTGGGCTTTAAGTGCAAATAAAGTCTCATTCTTTTAAGCTCTGTTTCTTCTCATCCTGCCTCTCTTGTTTTTCTTTTTTTTTGGTGTTCTTTTTAATGGACTTCCTTGTTTGGGGCAGATTGCTAGAAGGATTTTCTTTATATTATTTCCAATACTACCTGAAGAGAGACAAAGCAGCAGAATACACCCAGTGAAGTTGGCTTCATTTCATTTTTTCTAAGAGTAGCTCGGTAATTGGCTTATGAAATAAAAGTTTCTGGCAGGTATATGATAGCTGAATATTTGGTAACATTCAGATAAAGCCTCTTTTGTTTAGCCAGTATCTAGGCTCTTCTTATTTTCAACTGACCAAATTTTCAGGTGTTTTTCTTATTTATGCTTTCTTGAACATAAGCAGATCTTGGTCGACAGGCTAGTTTTGGTCTGTAACTGGAAAGTGTTTTCCTTTTCCCAGGTAGCTGTGACAGTCAGATTGGGCATATCAGTGGTTTCTGCGGATGGTATGCTTATTGTCCCTGAGGATGTAAGTTAGTCACATGTTAGTGTTCAAGTCAGTGGGGCAGTTATTTTATGCTGGTGATTTTAAGGGGAACCTGAAGCCACCAAAGGGGCAGAATCTAGAAAATGCATGTGTATGGAGATTAATATGCATCATGAGACTTATGATAGTTAAAATATTATTGCTGATTATTCTGTAAACATGAGGAGACATGTCTTGTTTGGAATACTAATAGCACTCCACCTTTTATTGACAAGATTGTTTTCCTCCTAAGGCTAAAGATTAGTCACTAAGTCTAATTACTAACCCAAAGTATCAAGAGTCCTTCTAGAGTTTCTTATTATCATATGGCATTTTATATTGCTTTTATTTTTCTCCAAACAAAACAAACATTAAACAGAATGTGGGTTGTCTTCACATTGTCATCATTTGTCTGCCTTTTAGCAAGTCCTGAATATCAGAAATCTCACTAGATCAAATCTCATAAAAGTAAATTCAGTTTTCAAGTAGAGATTATAGTCAGGTACCGTTCTGTAGAAATTCTAACCAATTGCGCTCTTGACCCAATCAGTTACCATGTGTTCATAGCATCTTTTTAAAGTCCATTTACAAATATCTTTAAAACTTTGAATTTCTGTAAGTATTGAGCCTTTTTTCCATTTTGTACATAATTGGCTAATTTAGCCTCATTAAATTTTAAAGTGATTACAGGGTCTATAATAGTTGTGGTTACTGTTTTCATGAATGCGGATAGGAAAATGACAGGTTTAGGCAAATATCAGTAAGATTCAGGAACAACAGAGAGAAAAACATTTCTTTGTGGTGCTACAACTAGATCACTTTTACAGGCTTCAAAGTCTAAAAGTACTCAGGGAGAACTGTTTAAAGAGCATCTTCTATGAGTAATTAGGGAAATGAAATTATTGTAGACTATGTAATTGACTCAAGAAATATGAGAGCAAGATACAAGATAGGTGTGATGCAGTTGAAGTGTATAAGTGTACGAGGGAGGCCCAAAGGAGTGGACCAATGCTGTATTTAGAGAAGAAGGTTTTTCCTCCTATTTTAGCATTAGGGAAAATAAAATTGCATTAAAAGATGATGCTGATATTGTGGAATACATTGAACATAGCATTTGCATTACCTGCCTGTGTTTGGATAGTAATTAAGTTCTCGAGTTTTTATTTTTTCATACTAGTTAGAAGATTACCACATTTTATTCATGTGTATCATATGGATAATTACATAGCAAAAAGCATTTATGCAAAATCTTCATCATAAAATGATGACAATTTTATTCTTAAAGGGTATTTCTGAAGAAGAAACACCACAATATATGTAAAAGACCACCTTGTCATTCAGTGAAAGCATGGGTTTTGTTTTTATGTTGTTTTTGCTTCCATACACCTGTGTTTGGGGAATGATGGGATTGAGATATGTCCACATGGCATAGAGCAATGGCCCCTGCTCTTTCAAGTCTCCAACGTGTTATGACATATTTGTGGGGCTCATTAATTTTTTCTTTCTTAATTTTGATTCAAGGCCACTAGAGTTGAGGTTATGTTTTCTCTGCTATAAAGTGCACTGTAGTTGAGATTTCATGGATTTCTCTTGAAAAACAAGGGGCTACAGTAGAAAATGTAGTAGTATATAACTGTAAGATGTACATCTAAAGTAGTCTTACCAGAAAAGTCAGTCTTGCAAACTGAAACACCTGACACAGATATCTTTCTTTACCATAAATCCTCCTCTAATGCTACTGTTATCTTCTCTGCCATCTCCTTCTGCAGGCTCACATTCTATATTAACTATGGATCAAAAAGACTTGGGAAGAAAAAAGGCATACTAACTCTCCCTAAGACCTCTTTTGTGTTTGCTTCTTATTTTATATATTTGGTCTCACCATGGAGGAAAATATTGTTTGATATAATAGAAAACAAATTTTAGTGGAGGAATTCTGATTTACTAATGCATGTAGAATTATTTTTTAGGCATCTGTGTCCAAATTTGGTGCAAAAGATGAATGAAAATATTAAATAAATGATGACTTGAAACATGTAAAAGAAGTGTGCCTGTAAGGAGAATGTTACCATCTTAATATAAATTCATTGATAATAGATAAAGCATGAGTCTAACATCGTCCCAAATTTTTATAAGTATTTGAAATTAAAGGTTTTATTTGCTTGTGATGATGTCAGTTATTTTGTGCTTAATTGTTGTTATTCTCTCGTAGGTCAAAGCATTCAGTAAACCAGGGTTCCAAGGTGAATGCGTAGATTATACAAAAGAAATTTCTGATTTGACATCATTCACCCCACGTTCTTTTAAAGTTCTTCGGGGTTGGTAAGTGTGCTTTCTCAATATTTTCTTTGTTACCTAATGATTAAATTTCTTTTACATCTACAAAGATTTGGCTTAGGTTTTTTGCATATACTGTACAGCAAATTTTTAAACTTTTCTTTTTTAGGCATTTTTAACTACTAACTAGCCTAGTTTTGCTGAATTAGTATTTTGAGCCACAGAATACAAAAAAGAAATTGCTGATTAACCAGCTTAGGGAAGATTTTCACACTGATTTCTTAGACTATTTTCTAAATATTTTGAATGTTTAAATTATGTGTTTGGTGTACAGCATTATTGAATGCTACAAAAATAACTACTGTTTTTGTCCATGTAAGATATATTACCTCTAAGTTTTTTACTTTTTAATTTGTTTAAAGTATATGTTATCTCCATTTCAGAGATGAGGAAACCAGATTTATAGTTAGGGTTTCTCAGGGTTATATATCCCAAGTGTCAGGTGAAGGATAGTTTTGGTTATTTGTTTTAACTTTAAACTCCATATTCTTTCAATTGCATTGATATTTTGAGTCTTTCTTACATGTATATAAAACTGTATGTGATTGTAAGGGGTGAAATATATTCTTTTTTATTTAGTAAGATATACACAACACCAAATTTACCATCTTAACCATTTATAAGTACACAGTTCAGTGGTATCTCTATTTATTGAACATCTACTTTATACCCTATCAAAGTCTACTTCTCCTTCAAAATATCATGGGTAAGTCAGTTTTCCTTCCTCGTTTCTAGAAGCAGTAGAGACTAAAAACTCCCATTTTTCACCAGAGGAACTTCAGTCTCCCAGTTACTTTCTTCTCCACTGTCCACTTATTTTTAGTATTTACCACAAACCAGTCATACCATAATTATTTTTGCCCCTAAATCCAGTTTCATATTTTTACTAATTTGCTTTTCATTCTCCCTGTCATTCCCTAGTACCAGAAGAGTCAAGCTCAGCTCCTGCTTTTCTAGGCTTTATTGTCAAGTAGTCTTCTTTTTCCTATTCCTTCTCCATTGTGTCCTTTTACTGTCCCCTCAGTCCTTCCTTCCATCGTTTATTCAGCCATTTCTTTTTCTCCTTACTTCCTATATCAGAAGTTGGCAAACTTTTTTCTGTAAAAGTGCACATAGTGAATGTTTCTTCTCCAGACTACATGGGCTCTCTTTCACTGCTTTTAGCACTCCCTTTGAAGCAGGGAAGTGGCGTAGACAGTACGCAAGTGCCCAGGCATGGCTCTGTTCCAGCGAGATTTTACTTTTGCATATAGAAATTGGAATTGTACATAATACCTATATGTCATGGAGTAGTCTTCTTTTAATTTTTAAAACAATTTAAAAACTTGGAAGCCAAACTCATCTTGTGGAGTATATGAAAACAGACCTTGGGGTATAGATTGCTAACCGCTGATCTACATCAAAGATCATAGTTCTGTGACAAATCCAACTAGTGGATGTTACGTGGTCAAGCTATACACTGTTAGAATTTTTTTATATCAAGACTTAGGTTTTGGATATATTATTTCAGAAACGTTTTCCACTGAGAAAGATTTCAACCTTGGCAGTAATTGGTGGTATTGAGTGGGTGACAAGTGTGTTTCCCAGGATATCACAACCACCGTCAATCCCATTTTTTTTCTCACTTGTTACAGTGCTCATTTGCATTACCTGCCTGGCCACCTGAAGATACATACATTTGTGTCCCCTGCTTAATACTAATCCAGATATATCCTTTAAATTTTAATTCAAGCCATTCCCTCTGTTAACTTTGATTCATCTTAATTTAAGCAGTTTTTTTTTCTTATTTCATACAGCTCTTCTGCTTTGAACTTCTGTGTATTTGTTACTGTGTTTATACTTCTAAACAGGATATGAGAATTTCACAGCATTAAAATGTATAAGATAAAGCATTATAAATTAAGTAGAGTATCTATTACTTTTTAGCAAAAAGTAATTTCTTCACTATTATTGGGCTTTGAGTTTCTTCTTCATTAAAATAAAATATTTTGTAAGATGCATTTTCACTTTTTGATAAAAACAAGCATTGGAGTTTTTCTGGAAGAAAATCTTTTATCACCTAGGAAATATACAACTATAGCTTTATTAAAGAATTTTAAAACCATGGAAGTTATGTAAGTGCTTGGAGTATTTGAGAGAACTGTGTCTGAGCACATTTCTATCACTTCCCAGCTATGTAATCTTAAGGAAATTGGGTCACCTCTCTGAACCTCAGTTTCCTCATCCCTGAAGGAAGGATTACGATAGGTACCTATCTCAAAGGAGTTCTAAAGGCTAAATAAAATAATGCGCATAAAGGACATAGCCCCATGCCTAGTGCATTGAAAACCTTTGATAAATGTTGGCTGGAAAATGCTTATTATGTAGAAAATATAACAGTAAATTATGTCAGAGAGCATTTTTGTGGTAATCCAAAGGTAACCTGCCCTAGATATAGTACAGTCCTGTGACCTTAAAATATAGAGCTGGAACTTAAACACATCAAAACTAAATTAGTAATAGCCAATTAATTTTTCTCTTGGGGCCCTTTTCAAAAGAGAATGTTTTAGTGAGCTTCTGGTGAGTGTTGTAATGAAGATTACTCACCATCAGAATTCTAAAAGATTTTTTTAAAATTTTCTGTCAGCTATCTCATGTGTGGCTTAAAGATTTTATATACTCTTATATGATTTTAGAAGTCTAGCTCCTGTATCCATCCAGGCTGAATCAGTAAAAGATCATTAAATAAATATATGTTTTAATTTTTCACAAAAGAACTTCTAATTTTTTCAAATACTTAATCATCCCCATAGGGTGATCCCATGATGTTGCCTTGGAAGTCACTAAATGAAAGCATGTCTTTAGCATAAAGCAGATGTCTTCTTATTTCAAATCTCAGCCTCATCTTTTAATAGGTGGGAGAATCTTGGGCAAATCACTAACGCTTTCTGATCCTTAGTTTTGTTGCCTGTAAAAGCGAGGATATGTTTTTAAATTAAAGAATTTTTGACATTAATGTAATATTACATGTAAAGTTCTAGTATGGTAAGCAGTCAATAAATGATAATGGTGTTTATTTTACTAACTGATGCTGATCAGCACCCTAGTTTCCACAGCATGGTGGTGAACCCTCACTGATGGCTGACTGTAATTTGACTGAATTTCTGCTTGTTTTACAGCTGGCTCCTCTGTTACCAAGAGGACATTTTCTACAGTCAGTGTGTGTTAGAAGAAGGCCTCTATGCAGACCTTACTTCCTGTGGCTGCCCAACGTCTAGAGTTATATCCCTTAAGCCTATTGACTATGTAAGTACTTTGCTGTAATGAGACTTTCTTCCTCATCCAGTTTAAATGTGTAGGTACCTAGAGTGCTTGAAAGACTTGTATGTGAGCCTAGTTCTACTACTTCCCAGCTATGCAGCGTTAGTCAAACTGGGTCATCTTTGTGAACTTCAGCTTCATCATCTGCTCAGGAACAAGAGTAGTAATACCTTCCTCAGAAGATTCTTATGAGTCTGAAATAATGTATGTGAAGGACTCAGCTCCTTGAATAAAGGGTAGTAGAGTTGGAAGAAACATTACAAGGGGAAATACCAAATAATTCAGTTATTGATTATAAAATTAAAATCTGCTCCTGAAATCCAAACAAAATGCAATTGATATTTCCTTACAATTTCCTTCTCTCCAATTCCTCTCCTCCTGTACTCTTTCTTTTCTTCGTTTTATTTAAACAGAGGAGTAAAAGTCAAGAACTAGAATAACAAAACCCTATACTTCAATAGAAGTTTGATACTTTAATCAGTTTGGGCAGCACTGGTAAAATTCCGCAGTTCTCTTATCAATAACAACTAACAGTACAGTCACTAAAAATGAAAGGGTGCTTTTAAAATGTGCAGCACATGATGAGCAGTCAGTGTTGGCTGTGTTTTTCTCTGTTTTTATTTTTTACTAGGACATGTTTGTGAGACACTAATCACATGCCTTGTGGACAGTTGGCACATGCACATAACACATTCTAATACTTTTTCACCTACTCCATCTCTTGGTCACTTTGCAGCTGCAGAAGATCTATCTTTTTATCTCCTACTGTCTGTCTTTTGTTTTGACCTTTATAGTTTGAGTTTCTCAAATAAGAGCTATGTGATATTTAACAATGTATGTCTGGTTTATATCACTTAACATTATGCTCTCAAGTTACATCCATTTTCCTACAAATGATTTAAGTTTATCCTTCTTTATGGTAAAGTACTATTCTATTGTGTATAAATACCTCCTTTTCTTTATCTGTCCATCTGTTGATGGACATATATAGGCTGCTTTCAAGATTTAGTTATTATGTATTCTGCTGCTATCAACATGAGTATATATGTATCACTGTAATAGGATGTCTTTAATACTTTTAGGAAAGTACCTACTGGAAAGGAATAAATACCTAAGTTGAAGGAAATTGTTAATTTTAGGTTTTTGAGGACTCTCTATATTAATTTTCATAATGATTGTATAGCTTACATTCCCAACAACAATGTAAAAATGTTCCTTTTCCCCCTGTAGCCTCACCAGTATATGTTCGCTGATTTCTTGATGATACCCATTCTTTTGGAGTAAGATAGCATCTCTTTGTTATTTTAATTTGCATTTGTCTAATGGGTAGAGATACTGAACGCTTTCTCATGTATTTATTGGACATTTGTAATCCTTCTGAGAAGTGTCTGTTCATTTCGTTTGTCCATTTCTTGATTGGGTCTTTTATTTTAAGGGGTCTAATTTTTTTGAGTTCTTTATATATTGTAGATACTAGTCCTCTATTTGAGGAGTAGCCAGCAAAATATTTCCCCATTCTATAGGCTGACTCTTTACTCTGTTGGTTGTTACCTTTGCTGTGCAGAAACTTTTTAATTTGCTATATCCCATTTGTCGATTCTTCATGTTATTTCTAGTCCAGTTTGGGTTCTATTTGAGAATATTTGAGAATTCCTTGTCTGTTATGCATATGTCTTCAAGAGTTTTACCTGTTTTATCTTCCAGAAGATTAAGTATTTTTGTTTTAACATTTAGGACTTTGATCCAGTCGGATTTTAGTCTATTACTTGGAGAGAAATATAGGTCTAGATTCAATCTTATGCATGTGGATAGCCAGTTTCCCCAGGACAATTTATTAAAGAGACTTTCTTTCCTCCAGAGTGTGCTTTTGGCCCCTGTATCAAAGATTAGATAGTTGTACCTTTTATGCTTATACATTGATCCACATTTTATTTTTTTGGCAGTAGTGTCATATTGAAGTATAGGATTATGATGCCTCCTACTGCCTCTGGTTGTCCAGAATTCATTTGGTATTCTGGGTCTCTTTTGATTTCATATGAATTTTAGGATTGTTTTCTCTAGCTCTGTGAGGAATACTATTGGTATTTTGATTGTGATTGTGTTAAATCTGTATATCAGCTTTGGAAGAATGGCCATTTTGGTTCTGCCTATCCAGGAACAGAAGATATCTTTTCATTTTCTTTTTTTTTTTTTTTTCTTTTTTTTTTTTTTTTT